CACCGGCCCTGAGGGTGCCTCGGTTCGGCCGGGGCGCCTCCGTTCCATGGGTGAGCTCCGCTCCGCTCCCCTCCCGTGGGGTAGCTCCGTTTCCATGGAGGTATCCCCCCGTTCCATGGGGGTGCCCCCCGTTCCATGGGGGTGCCCCCCGTTCCATGGGGGTGCCCCCCGTTCCATGGAGGTGCCCCCTGTTCCATGGAGGTGTCCCCGTTTCCATAGAGGTGTTCCCCCCCATTTCCATCGAGGTGTCCCCGTTTCCATGGGGGTGTCCCCACGTTTCCATGGAGGTGTCCCCATTTCCATAGAGGTGTCCCCCGTTCAGTGGGCGTGTCTCCATTTCCATGGAAGTGCCCCCCCGTTTCCATGGAAGTGTCCCCACGTTTCCATGGAGGTGTCCCCGTTTCCATAGAGATATCCCCCCCGTTCCATGGGGGTGTCCTCATTTCCATGGGGGTGTCCCCCTCATTTCCAGGGAGGTGCCCCCTGTTCCATGGAGGTGTCCCCGTTCCATAGGAGTGTCCCCATTTCCATGGAGGTGTCCCCCCCGTTTCCATAGAGGTGTCCCCCCCGTTTCCATGGAGGTGTCGTCCCCGTTTCCATGGAGGTGTCCCCCCCGTTTCCATGGAGGTGTCCCCTGTTCCATGGAGGTGTCCCCCCCATTTCCATGAGGGTGTCCCCATTTCCATAGGAGTGTCCCCGTTTCCATGGAGGGGTCCCCATTTCCATGGAGGTGCCCCCTGTTCCATAGGAGTGTCCCCGTTTCCATGGAAGTGCCCCCCCGTTTCCATGGAAGTGTCCCCATTTCCATGGGGGTGTCCCCGTTTCCATAGAGGCGTCCCCCGTTCCATGGGGGTGTCCCCCCCGTTTCCATGGGGGTGTCCCCATTTCCATGGAGGTGCCCCCTGTTCCATAGAGGTGTCCCCCCCCCGTTCCATAGGAGTGTCCCCGTTTCCATAGAGGTGCCCCCCCCATTTCCATGGAGGTGTCCCCAGTTTCCATGGGGGTGCCCCCTTTTCCATAGGAGTGTCCTCGTTTGCATAGAGGTGTCCCCATTTCCATGGAAGTGCCCCCCCGTTTCCATAGGGGTGTCCCCATTTCCATGGAGGTGTCCCCATTTCCATGAAGGTGCCCCCTGTTCCATAGAGGTGTCCCCCCCGTTCCATAGGAGTGTCCCCGTTTCCATGGAGGTGTCCCCGTTTCCATAGAGGTGTCCCCCCCATTTCCATAGAGGTGTCCCCCCCCGTTTCCATGGAGGTATCCCCCCGTTCCATGGAGGTATCCCCCCGTTTCCATGGAGGTGTCCCCCCTTTTCCATGGGGGTGCCCCCTGTTCCGTGGGGGTGTCCCCTCCGTTTCCATGGAGGTGTCCCCATTTCCATGGAAGTGCCCCCCGCGTTTCCATGGGGGTGTCCCCGTTTCCATAGGGGTGTCCCCGTTCTGGCCGTGAGCTCTGCCCGTCGCCTTCTCTGCATCGAAGGCTGCTGACAGATGGGCTGAGAAAGTGTTGGAGAGCGTCGAGGCAGCAGAAGGAGCCTTGGGAAACTGGATTTTGGGAATAAATAGTTCAAGGCTGTGCCCAGACCGGTCTGTTAACAGCAGCTGTTGGATCTGCTGTGTTTAAACACTGGGGTTTGCCTCCCTGTGCTCTGAGTGTCAGAATTTTATTGTGCTGCTCCAACATCATCATTAAAATCATCCCAGAATGGGTTGGGTGGGAAGGAGCCTTAAACTCATCCCATCCCAGGAACACCTTCCACCATCCCAGGCTGCTCCAAGCCCTGTCCAGCCTGTCCTGGGACACTTCCAAGCCTGAAATTTGACATAATTAATATTAATTCCCAGCCATATATGCAGAAAAAAGGATTAGCACGTACAACAAGGGATTTTTAACCATTTAGAACCAATTTTTAACCATTTGCTCCAGTAGAGCAAATAGCAAACCAAGGTGTGACTGATGCACTTGACTCTACCCCATTGCCTGCCCGCAGTGCTGTGTGCCTGTAAATCCATTTATAAAGAATTAATTGTATATATTTCTTGAAAAAACCACTCCAGCAGCCTTTGATGACGCCGTGGAGGAGCGTGTGATCAACGAGGAGTACAAGATATGGAAGAAGAACACTCCTTTCCTGTATGACCTGGTGATGACCCATGCCCTGGAGTGGCCCAGCCTGACTGCTCAGTGGCTTCCTGATGTCACAAGGTAAAGG